AGTCCCTCTACTAGCGCGTGTATATTCAGTTTGATAGTCCCTCTACTAGCGCGTGTATATTCAGTTTGATAGTCCCTCTACTAGCGCGTGTATATTCAGTTTGATAGTCCCTCTACTAGCGTGTGTATATTCAGTTTGATAGTCCCTCTGCTAGCGCGTGTATATTCAGTTTGGTAGTCCCTCTACTAGGGCGTGTATATTCAGTTTGGTAGTCCCTCTACTAGCGCGTGTATATTCAGTTTGCCAGTCCCTCTACCAGCGCGTATATATTCAGTTTAGTAGTCTCTCCACTACGCGTGTATATTCAGTTTAGTAGTCTCTCTACTAGCGCGTGTATATTCAGTTTGGTACCCATATGTATCTTGGAGTTGTCACTGATCAAAAGACAATTTTTACTCCTTTTCTTCTTATATACTTTGTTCAACAATCAGAAGAAATAACACTGTTGTAGATTGACAAGGAAATGAAGCATATATTCAAATTACTGTAATTGATTGACAAATCAGGTCATATTGACCGATAGACTTTACAATGTTGGTCCTTTACGATACAGTAGTCATGCACGCTACTACTAACGATAAACCACTACTGAACCATTTAAAGTTATCAATATCATGTTACACAGAACACTTCAAACACTATTCACTTGAAAACAAATCTTGTGCTTAACAAACGAATTAAGTCTTCCTTCAGAATACATACTTAAATGTTTGTATGTAATGCAGGTACATGGACAAAAGACTGATTTAATTTTCGTGCAAAACAGGGAGTTACGAAGGTTTGAGTACGTTAAATTAAAACGAGTGTTAATATGTAAATCACATGACAACCACAGCCGATATAAGGTAGCGGTAGAATGGAATGTATCAGGACTACATATTGACATTTTTTGGCGTTGCGTAAGTAGTGTGATGTCATTGAAAAATTATCGTTTTGGGGAAGGAAAAGTAACAGCCATTTCGGCGCAAAATATAATACTCTAGGATAACACAGATGTGTTCAGATTGAGGACTGAGAACTTCCAAAATGGGGATATCTCTTGAATTTAAAGAAATGAGGTAACAAAGGATATGCATCAACTTGGGTTTGAGCATCATCCAGAATGAGACCACAACAAGTCGTAACCTAGCCGTGGTAAGCAAAGTGAGGCGTCTTGTAACACATATCGCGGACAACAGTAAACAGCATAGGCACGAAGGGCTTCTGCCTGGAAGAGCCACACAAGACACGTGTATACAAGTACTGCCACAAAATATCCGTTCAACCATTGCAAACCTCAAGCAGCTGGAGAATGAAACAAGAATTCACGTTATTTTAAACGAAGACATACTGATCAAGTCGCCAGACGCATATGGATTGCTATGTGATCAGACTGTTGAAACGAGCACTGCGAAACCATCTTCTTCGTTCACTAAACGAATTATGAAAAGCAAGCAGGGATGAGTGATGTGATTTGGACATGACAACCAAGCCTTACGACGGATCTTATGCAATAGAAACTAGGCTGCAGGGGTATCATCAAGTTTCATGGCCGTCAGGTATAGCATGACTGGACCTTGCGACATAGACTGTAATGACGTGGTGAGGTTCCAATATTGTTTTAATATAAGGTACTCAATCACTGTAGAAGTTGTCAAATTCAAAATCCAAAACAGAAGCATGTCCTAGTAACAAAAAAAATTTAAATAATATAATCTATACTTACGAGATTGAATGACAGGTTCTGGTGAGGGTGGCCTTCTTACTCCCAAACAATGATCCCAAAAGTCTGGACAGCAGTCTTCGCTGTTAGTCCTGTTGCAGAACATATCACAGTAGCAGATGGTGTCCAGTATTGGCATTGTACACGAGTCGTCTCTGCCTGGACAGCACGTCGTCGGTCGACGTATACGGCAGTAGTCACCCGGAAGGTCCAAATACCAGTCTTTAGCTACAGCTATCCAGAGGCATGCAAGTACGACAGCAGCAGATAAAGTCGCTGACCGGTAGTTTTGACTGATCATTTTGGTCAAATATGATTATTGTGAATAAAGAAGTTACATATGGTAAGGCAGTCTACCTTAGAGCTTGAGAGTTATGCCCACAGTTTGAAACCTATAAGTAGGACAGAAAAACTCTGAGTCAGTCAAGTATGTAAAAGACAGTGGGTGAGCTTTGGAGATTTTATAAATGTATATGAGACTCTAGATCAATTTGAAAAGAAGAGAGTCGTATCTTGACTCATTTGTGAAAATGACATTGTCTGGCGAACACGCAATAACGGTATGTTTGCTACACCACCTGATCAAACATCTAAGGTCTTATCAATAATTATATTACACCTACGTAAAATTAGAGACGCACGACACTGAGTGTTATACGTGACGTTTAGATTAAGTTAGTTGTCCTACACCAGCTCTCACAAAATATGAAATCTGTGATACGTTTGTCAATTTACGAAAATAAGTTAGTTAAAGATTTTTTTTCAACTCTACTGACGTTCAACAAAACTAGTCTGCCAAGTTTGTTTTCATAAATATACACGCGCCAGTAGAGAGACTACCAAACTAAATATACACGCGCTAGTAGAGAGACTACTAAACTGAATATACACGCGCTAGTAGAGGGACTACTAAACTGAATATACACGCGCTAGTAGAGAGACTACTAAACTGAATATACACGCGCTAGTAGAGGGACAATAAAGTTATTGTTTTATTATTTC